AAAAAATGGGTATGATTAGGGTCGATATCGCATTCATTAGCAGGATTATTAGCTTTTCTATTTGTATATGATTTCATAAGATACTAAATTTTAGACAAAATATCAAGTGTATCATCAGATCTAAACAGAGAAAATCTTTACCATATCATTATTTGGATTATTACAAGATAGTTGGTAGACATCTGCAAATATTGACAATTGTCTTTACAATTTTGAAAGAGAAAATTTAATTATAAACTAGAATTGCTATTGAAAAATACCTGTAGTATAATTCCAATTTGGCACTGCAATGCAAGGGATATCGACACGTTTTTTTGAATTTTTATATCGGTATTTGTCAAATGCATCTCCTACTTCTTTCATTACACCACTATTCGTTCCACCCGTAAAAATCCAAGCATCTAAATTTTAATTAATTTGTTTTGTATTAGATGATTTTTCGCATTCATACTTTTGGTTATTACCAGTAGTTATGGCGGCTGCAATCAAATCTCTTTGAAAAGTATTTCTTACGCGAGCTGGTGTAGTGTTATGTAATAATGCTGCACCTCCCGCTATGGAAATAATTAACTCGGGTGTTTTCAATTTCCACGCATGTTTCATAAAAGAAACGATTTCTTACGCACGCGTTTTTTTCTTCTCAATAGGGTTTAATGATATACGGTGTTCATCAATCTGAGTTTGAGAATTAACAGGTGATGAGTCAAATGGAAACCGAATAAACTACAAGAAATAAAGAGTTCAATATTCTGAAAATGAGAGAGGAAGTGACGCGAACTTGCATAAGATGATCGACCATTTTGTGTAAATTTTATCTTGCCAAAATCACTGATTCTAAAGTAGATGTATGTGCATTCCAGTTTTACGATACAAATTCATCACTATTTAAAAGCATCGGCTTAGAATAGAGCACCACTGTTGTTGATCTTCTCTGCAATAGTCTTATACCGTTTATGTAAAAGATTCATATTAGTCACCTAGTAATCAACAAACTACACTGTAAGAAAAACGTGTTCTTCGTGTTTTCGAGTGGAAGATCTCATTTAAGTTCTTTGAAAGATAAAGAATTTAATTTATATTTTTCAATAAAAAATGACTTTTTCATTCATTTCAGTTTTTCGGGTCATTTTAGTTTTTCAGAAATTTGTTTTTCAGGATTTGGAAAACACAATATTTCTTTTGAATTCTCTGAAGATCTCGAAGTTGAAAAGGAAAAGAAAATCACATATTTCAATCACCGCTTTTGTTTTGCGATTCCTAATGTCTATAAAGGACACGATATTTTCTTACAGAAGCTTAAATTTATTCTCAAAAAGTCTATTTATGTACAACAATGTGCACACTTCGAGAACATGTTTGTTCTTGACAATAGAGTTCTAAAATTCGACTCGAACCCAATAAGTGGAGTACCTACAATGTTTGAAACCTGAATCGATGTGGCCTGGTCAAATGTGGTTCCAAATGATGGTACTGGATCGCTACCGAACATGTTCGATCAGCGAGCGGTTCGCTACCAAAGGTTTAAAAGAAATAGTTTGTCAAAGTTAGGAAGATGAGAGCGATAAAATATATGAAAGAAATCTCTGTAAGACAGAAAAAATAGTCAAGCTTACACCAAATGCAGGAGCAGCCATGCGGAGTAGCCGTAGGTAGTCATATAAAGAAAAGTTTGATTTAGAGCAACAATTTTACATTTATTTTATTCCAGAAAGTTCAAAGTACCTTTAGTTTCCATTATATCTTATTTACTCGCTAATAAAGCATACTTTTACTAATGTGGCTTCTGTAGCAGATTGATTTACTTTTTTTTAATGCAAAAATGCTTTTCCTCATTGTGCAAATAAAGTATACAGAAAGTTATAGTTCTAATTCGAATAAAACTTTATAAGATTTATGGCATTTTATCCTAATAGTTCCTGAACAGAGCGTTGTTTAATTATTGGAAATACAGTCTTGTTTTTTTCCGTGCGAAAAGATCAACCATTGACCAAATATTTACTTTAAGGATGATCATGGGAAGAAGAAGATAGTTCAATAAGCCTCTATTTATATGGTTTATCGATATCACAAAGGCCTACGACTCTGTTAATTGTGAACTTCTCTTGAAAATCTATCTTAGTTATGATATTTCACAAAAATTAGTGAATTTATTACGAATGCTTTATAAAGACTCTAAAGCAAAAGTGAAAATCAGTGAGGAACTTTCAGACAGTTTTGACACTCTCACAGGTGTTATGCAAGGAAGCATTCCTTCTCCAATTTTATTCAACATTCTGTTTGACTTTGTTATTCGAAGAGTGATTGAGGAGCCAACTACTGAAGGCGTAAAATTCTGCTACGACAACAATGACTTTTATCATCAAAGTCGTGAGAAATATGAAATTTTTGATATTTTGACTCTTTTATATGCAGACACATTTTTCTGTTTAAAGAATAAAATCAGAAAGTAACAAATTTTATATTTTCATCAAATGTTCATCTTTTATGAAGCACAAGGTGGAGAGTGCTCACTATAAACTTATTTGGTATTGCACCAACTTCGCGAACTAACACTACCCTAATTAGAGTAGACCCATTTCCATCTTTTATACTAGTTTAAAGTACACGAGTTGTACACGATGCTGATATATTTTTTAGAAAAGGACCCCTTTTAGCCTCTGAGGAACGTGGCTGTGAATATGTGTCGAAAACTTGCTTTTTTAGACGATAATCATCGATACAAAAAAGAAGATGAAGAGATACAATGCATTTTCAGAGTCATACTCTTATAGAATAAGCAGTTTGAACTTTCCAGTAGAGCATCATGGTTTAGGAAATTGAAATATTTTGTGGAATAATAGCACAAGCTCTCGGATCCCTTTTAGCGTGAATATGTGAATGTGAATATGTGTCGAAAACTTGGTTTTTTAGACGATAATCATCGATATTCACAGCCATGTTCCTCAGAGGCTAAAAGGAGTCCTTTTCTAAAAAATATATCAGCATCGTGTACAACTCGTGTACTTTAAACTAGTATAAAAGATGGAAATGGGTCTACTCTAATTAGGGTAGTGTTAGTTCGCGAAGTTGGTGCAATACCAAATAAGTTTATAGTGAGCACTCTCCACCTTGTGCTTCATAAAAGATGAACATTTGATGAAAATATAAAATTTGTTACTTTCTGATTTTATTCTTTAAACAGAAAAATGTGTCTGCATATAAAAGAGTCAAAATATCAAAAATTTCATATTTCTCACGACTTTGATGATAAAAGTCATTGTTGTCGTAGCAGAATTTTACGCCTTCAGTAGTTGGCTCCTCAATCACTCTTCGAATAACAAAGTCAAACAGAATGTTGAATAAAATTGGAGAAGGAATGCTTCCTTGCATAACACCTGTGAGAGTGTCAAAACTGTCTGAAAGTTCCTCACTGATTTTCACTTTTGCTTTAGAGTCTTTATAAAGCATTCGTAATAAATTCACTAATTTTTGTGAAATATCATAACTAAGATAGATTTTCAAGAGAAGTTCACAATTAACAGAGTCGTAGGCCTTTGTGATATCGATAAACCATATAAATAGAGGCTTATTGAACTATCTTCTTCTTCCCATGATCATCCTTAAAGTAAATATTTGGTCAATGGTTGATCTTTTCGCACGGAAAAAAACAAGACTGTATTTCCAATAATTAAACAACGCTCTGTTCAGGAACTATTAGGATAAAATGCCATAAATCTTATAAAGTTTTATTCGAATTAGAACTATAACTTTCTGTATACTTTATTTGCACAATGAGGAAAAGCATTTTTGCATTAAAAAAAAGTAAATCAATCTGCTACAGAAGCCACATTAGTAAAAGTATGCTTTATTAGCGAGTAAATAAGATATAATGGAAACTAAAGGTACTTTGAACTTTCTGGAATAAAATAAATGTAAAATTGTTGCTCTAAATCAAACTTTTCTTTATATGACTACCTACGGCTACTCCGCATGGCTGCTCCTGCATTTGGTGTAAGCTTGACTATTTTTTCTGTCTTACAGAGATTTCTTTCATATATTTTATCGCTCTCATCTTCCTAACTTTGACAAACTATTTCTTTTAAACCTTTGGTAGCGAACCGCTCGCTGATCGAACATGTTCGGTAGCGATCCAGTACCATCATTTGGAACCACATTTGACCAGGCCACATCGATTCAGGTTTCAAACATTGTAGGTACTCCACTTATTGGGTTCGAGTCGAATTTTAGAACTCTATTGTCAAGAACAAACATGTTCTCGAAGTGTGCACATTGTTGTACATAAATAGACTTTTTGAGAATAAATTTAAGCTTCTGTAAGAAAATATCGTGTCCTTTATAGACATTAGGAATCGCAAAACAAAAGCGGTGATTGAAATATGTGATTTTCTTTTCCTTTTCAACTTCGAGATCTTCAGAGAATTCAAAAGAAATATTGTGTTTTCCAAATCCTGAAAAACAAATTTCTGAAAAACTAAAATGACCCGAAAAACTGAAATGAATGAAAAAGTCATTTTTTATTGAAAAATATAAATTAAATTCTTTATCTTTCAAAGAACTTAAATGAGATCTTCCACTCGAAAACACGAAGAACACGTTTTTCTTACAGTGTAGTTTGTTGATTACTAGGTGACTAATATGAATCTTTTACATAAACGGTATAAGACTATTGCAGAGAAGATCAACAACAGTGGTGCTCTATTCTAAGCCGATGCTTTTAAATAGTGATGAATTTGTATCGTAAAACTGGAATGCACATACATCTACTTTAGAATCAGTGATTTTGGCAAGATAAAATTTACACAAAATGGTCGATCATCTTATGCAAGTTCGCGTCACTTCCTCTCTCATTTTCAGAATATTGAACTCTTTATTTCTTGTAGTTTATTCGGTTTCCATTTGACTCATCACCTGTTAATTCTCAAACTCAGATTGATGAACACCGTATATCATTAAACCCTATTGAGAAGAAAAAAACGCGTGCGTAAGAAATCGTTTCTTTTATGAAACATGCGTGGAAATTGAAAACACCCGAGTTAATTATTTCCATAGCGGGAGGTGCAGCATTATTACATAACACTACACCAGCTCGCGTAAGAAATACTTTTCAAAGAGATTTGATTGCAGCCGCCATAACTACTGGTAATAACCAAAAGTATGAATGCGAAAAATCATCTAATACAAAACAAATTAATTAAAATTTAGATGCTTGGATTTTTACGGGTGGAACGAATAGTGGTGTAATGAAAGAAGTAGGAGATGCATTTGACAAATACCGATATAAAAATTCAAAAAAACGTGTCGATATCCCTTGCATTGCAGTGCCAAATTGGAATTATACTACAGGTATTTTTCAATAGCAATTCTAGTTTATAATTAAATTTTCTCTTTCAAAATTGTAAAGACAATTGTCAATATTTGCAGATGTCTACCAACTATCTTGTAATAATCCAAATAATGATATGGTAAAGATTTTCTCTGTTTAGATCTGATGATACACTTGATATTTTGTCTAAAATTTAGTATCTTATGAAATCATATACAAATAGAAAAGCTAATAATCCTGCTAATGAATGCGATATCGACCCTAATCATACCCATTTTTTGTTGATGGATGACAGCAGAGAAAAGGCTTGGTGGAGAAAAGAGGAAACATATGAATGTCGTGCGGATCTACAATCGACACTACGTGCTGAAATTGAACAAGAATCCGCAAACATTATGCCAACGATTGATAATTTATTGGTCCATCTGTATGAGAAAACAGGAGAAATTTTTAAGCAGGTGAAGCATATGTTTAACTATAATATGATGCAACAGAAAATAGCCACTACACGTATAATAGAAAGTTTAAATGAATTATGCGAAATGATTGATTCGACAACAAATAACGCTGATACAATTATTTTACGTGGTGTCGGAGATAGAGTGACCGATGTAATTAAAACAACTATGAAAAAAGCAAAAGAGTTAAAAGACAAGCTTTCTACTTATCATGATTTACTTAATAAGACTACTGGGGGCTTGGACAAACAAAAACAAGACATATTAGATGACGCAGTGAACTTACAAACAGGTAAAAAGACTAAAAAAAGATGATCAAAAAGTACATGAATATCTGACTATTGTTAAATAAAAGTTATTGCTATCTTGTTTTTAATTTAGCCTATTACGAGAAACATCATAGGCCAATAGTTCAAATACTTGTAGAAGGTATTATTATTCATAATGATTGAGTGACAGAGAAGATTGGTTCTATGAATATGCTCTAAAAAAACTTTTTCTTCATGCTTTCAGAGAAGTGGTTGAAAAACTCATTTAAGTTCGTTGAAATATAGAAAACTTAGTTTTTGTTTTTCGACAACAAATGAGTTTTTTAAACATTTCAATGCATTACAGTTCTTCAGAAACTGAGTTTTTCAAATATTAAAGAACAGAATTTTCCCTTTGTTTTTCTGTGAACATCACAACTCATGTCGATGTTGTTTATGCATAAGTGCTCACTTTGACTGATTATGCACAAGGACCAAGGAGGAAAAAGCAACACGACACTACACTATAAGGGATTGTCCACTACAGCCCATCACACATCTCCTACACATCCATTACACCCCGCTACTCATCTGCTACACCCCAGCACCCATCCACTCGTGACCACTACAAAGTCACTACAATGCCACTACCGTAGTGTAATGAAGTGTTGTTTTTTCATCCTTGACGAGGGCACTACAATAATGGTGGAATGAAGAGAGAATATATCGAATAAATAATCCTTTTTTCACTTGAATTAACTACTGTAAGTTCTATTGAATCGAAGTCCGACTATTTGCATCACTTAAACTTTTGCTATAACGTCGAAATCACTATGGGTTTGCTGATCTGTAGACAGAAGAACTGGAGACGTTATCGTGTGGAAATAATTACTAAATAAACGTCTCATATTTACGATGCACTCAAGGCAGACATGCAGTGAAATTTCTTTTTCTTTTACTTATACACCATTCGATAGAGAATTTGACGGCAATCACGAATATATATTCTCTGAACTTTTTGGAGCATTCCTTCCGGTCGAAATTTCGGAAAAACTAGAAAGTGGTGGAAAACTCGATCTTTTGAGTCTGTTTTTAACACGTTAACTGCCAGAGTGCCAGAGTAAAAAAAATAAAGCCAAATATATCACCGATGATGCATTGGTAGTTAACGTGTTAAAGTTGAGTTTTACAAGTTTCTTTACAACTTGAAAAATTCTAACGACTAATCCTTGTTCAGTGTCGAAAACTGAACTAGAAAATGGTCGAAAAACCGTTTGTAATCCAAAGGTCTATCCGCGAAGAACCTCAGAAACAAATCGATCAAAAATAATTGAAACTCATTTTCCAAAGTTCCCACGCGTTTTTCTAGAGGTGCTAGAGTCAATGTTTTTTATATGGCTCGGTTCCCTAGATGTCAAACTACAAAACTGAACGTGCCGATTTTTGAAATTCCTTTTGGTTGCTGAGAAAAATCATTTTTTCTAAATCAGAGGCGAAAAAGTCGAAAATGTGCCGCTCAACTTTTGAGCAATAAAAATATCATATTTGGGATCAGGATCAAAAGCTAAGTTGACTGATGTGTATTTCGGAATGTTTAGTTGAATTTCAGTTTTGGACGAAAATCTCGGTAAATTTTCAGCGTGGAAATTCGAAAGCATTAAAGTAGTCAGATAGAAGTACACATCAGTCAACTTAGCTTTTGATCCTGATCCCAAATATGATATTTTTATTGCTCAAAAGTTGAGCGGCACATTTTCGACTTTTTCGCCTCTGATTTAGAAA